GATAAACAAATATTTATTTTAAAACATTGTTAACTGTTCAAGCATATAGATTATAGCACTCTATGAAAACAATGGACTCAACTTTGGAATATTATTTTGATTTTCTGTCACAGCCCTCCAGGGCTTTGTATATTTTACTAAAAGCAAGTGGTACGAAGTTTGAGGCGAAACCCATCAACTTGCTGGAAGGTAAGATCTATTAATGTTGGGTATAAGAAATACCACAATGTTGTGGAATATATACTTTTAGACAAGAGTTCAAACTACTTTTTGGATTTATTCCACTGTTTTAATCTAAATTGTTTGGCTAAAGATCAAATTTCCAATGCTTTTTATCCCATTGACTTACATCAAAGGGCACGAGTAGATGAATTCTTATCATGGCAACACACGGGTATTCGTACTTCATGCTCCCTTTATTTTCGTTTTCAATGGGTCCAGGAGAAAGCATTTGGTTCACCTGCCTCAGAAGCTAAAGTGGCAAAATATCGCAAACTAATGGAAAAGGATTTAGACCTGATGGAAAATCTATGGTTAAAAGATACGGGATATTTAGCCGGTAATAAATTGACGGCAGCTGATGTTTTTGGTGCATGCGAAATTGAACAAATAAGTGAGTAGTTGATTATTTAAAAATAATAATTTTAAAATAATTTTTTTTGTTGTATTTTTTAGGATGTTGTGGTTATGAAATTAAAAACAAATATCCCAAAATATACTCGTGGATCGAAAAGGTACGCCATGAGCTGCATCCGTTTTTCAACGAAGCTCATCGAATGGTATATATGTATGAAAAGGAAACTAAATCGAAATTGTAAATGAAATTTGTTGATTAAAATTAAAAAAAAATGCTCAAGTTCAAATGGAAATTTAAAGTTATATTGGTTTATTTTCTAGATATTTGAAACGGGGAGCAAATTCATATACAATATGTTAATACAGAGGAATGTTGGCTAACGGAGGAATGAGCCACAGAAGTAGAAAAATATATTATACAGATTGTTAGAATGACAATTTCAAATCAGGACCTATTTACAATAAAAAATCCGTATGCTATTGTTACAAGTTGGTCTAGGCTCAAATTGGTACGCTGTCTTAATTTGACAAACATTGGCTACTTGGAGTAACATTTACATGCAATGGGATGGAAAAAATGGGAGCCTCATCTAGGGCTAGGATTCGTCATTGAGCTGAAAGATTTAGGTATTGCGACCTGTACATTGTTTATAAAAATACATGAACTGACGACAGACGAACAGAATACATAAATCGACTCGATGATACTTTGTACTACAATATGGTGTAGGGTATAATGATTGCAATCAATAGCTGATCATTTGTTGGCGCATCCGTTTTCTGGTTTCAAATTGTAAGTGGGGCAATGTTACCGAAAAGCATAATTATCTATATATTATATAACAATTTTTATATAGTTTTAAATATCGAAAATACTTGTCAAAAAATCGACCTCATATTGAATCACTTCAATGAGCCTTGGCTTTAAAACTTAATTTCATGTCGTGGAGGCAAATATAAACTAATGTATATTCTCAAATTATTCTCAAATTCTTACGCTGTATACCGGAATATGACGTTTTCAATTCTTATACAGTCGAAAATGCAGATAGGGTCAAACTTCCTAATAGCTTTATTTTGCTGTGGCTTTCTTTTTCATTACTGCGTAAAAATAAAAATATGAAATGTATTTTTAAATATTAATATTTATTAAATATAACTTACACATAGAAACAAAATAATGTTTTTTGCGACATTTAACTTTCTAATGTAACATGATCTCGATTTATGAAAAATGCCGCAATCAATGCAGTAATTTGGGGTCCTTCTGTACAGCCCTTGGCCAAGCGTTCTTCTATAGAAGCCATTTTTATGATAATTTTATTCATGACGCTCATGGGAAGTTCCACTGTAGAAAAATAAAACAAAAACAAAAGAGATGTAAAGATACAAAATTATAATAAATTTAAAAACAAATTTATTCTGAACTTACGCCTCATAATAAACAAATGTAATTCCGTTAGGATGTCATCTAGAGCCAGACCTTTGACAGATTTGATACTTTGGATTTCTAAAAGAGTAATATAAATATTATGTTATGAATTTTCATTTGTCATAACCAATTAAACTCACCATCATAAGCACCCTCAAAACTTTTGCATGACAACAACGTTTCAAGGATTCTTTCAATATCACGACGCAATGGATGACCCACACATGTATAGACATTATCTTCGTTGACCTCATCGAAGGCCATACTTGTACTTTGTAAGACATTCAGTACTTTACGCATGTCACCCTTGGACAAAACCATCAAGGCCTTCTTACCATCTTCGGTGACATTTAATCTGAAATAAAAGTAGCAAAATTACCCCATAATAAGGTGTATTATTGTAAATTCTACTCACTTTTCCATTTCAATAATTTTATCCAAACGTGGCAAAATTTGTTCCGGTGTCAATGGGGCAAACCGAAAACGTGTACATCTTGATTGTACAGCCGGTATAATTTTGCTCAAATAATTACAGATAACACAAAATCGTACATTTTCTGTATATTTTTCTATAATACGACGCAGAGCATTTTGGGCATCATTTGTCATAGCATCTGCCTCGTCCAATATAATCAATTTGAAGGTTCCACTAAAGATGGTACGTGTCGAGGCAAAATTTAATATTTGTCCACGAACAATACCAATACCACGATCATCGGATGCGTTCAATTCCAAAACCATTGATTTAAATTGTGCCGGGGTATACAGTTGTTTGGCACATGCCAAAATCGTACTGGTCTTACCCGTACCGGGAGGACCATAGAACAGCAGATGGGGTAATTGTTTTTGGTTTATGAAACGATTAACTGCAATGTAATATATGATATAGTATTAAATATCTGTAGGGAAATTCTAGAATTTAAAACTTACTTGTCGATATAATTTCTTCATGTGATATCAAATCATCCAATTTCGATGGCCGATATTTCTCAACCCTAAAGTTAAAAATATGGAATTATTTTTCCTATTTGCACACTTTTACTTGAAAATCTCACCATGGCATCCGACTGGTTTTTGCTGGGGCTTCTTCGGTCATTTTTTATTAATTAATTTGCAAAAATATCGCGATAAACTCAATTTAGCCAAACAAAACGACAGAGACAATAGACATAAACAACTTTTTGCGCCCTTGCCTTGTCAAATGCCGGTATGACAATGAAGTGATGTATTTTTTAGTACTGCTGGGGTTTAGTTAGTGCATTACGTATCGTAAGCTGCCGCTATAAAAATTCTCAATCTAATTGGAAATACAAACATTATGTCTTGATTTAGATTAGGCGAGTTTACTTGCGGCAAGTCTTTGTTTGTAGGAGAGAGGGGCAAGGGGTATAGAAATGAAAAAAAATTGCTCGTACCGACAATTTTCTGGCAATTCGTTTTGTGTATTTCGTATTTGTTGACATTTTATATATGTCTTGATTTAGATTAGGCGAGTTTACTTGCGGCAAGTCTTTGTTTGTAGGAGAGAGGGGCAAGGGGAATAGAAATGGAAAAAAATTGCTCGTACCGACAATTTTCTGGCAATTCGTTTTGTGTATTTCGTATTTGTTGACATTTTATATATATTTAAATGTGAAAAAACAACAAATAAAATTTTTTTTTGGAAACCGAATTGCCTTGTATAGACGCATGGAGCAAGTTCAAAAGAGAACGATAAAAATTGCCGCAAGTAAACTCGCCTAATATAAATCAGGACTATAGAAACATATTTATGAGAATTTAAAAGGATTTAATTAATATACACAGTACGAAAATTTTGAAATACCTTGAAAATAGAATGCCGACAAACTAGAGATTTCATCTGTACCATATTTCTTCTACTCAAGTCATTCGAAAATTACCAGTCGAAATGCTCGAACGAGTTATCTTCAAAAAAATAAATGCCAAATAATGTTCTTTAAAATGATAATAAACATTTCCCGATTTGATCCAAAATTGGAACAATCTAATAATATTTTTCAAATATTTTGATTATTGGTCCATTCATTCGGGTATCTTCTACATAATGGGTCACAGCTTTTTTTCCTATTATCTCCTCTGCTTCCTGGCTCACGTCCTACTTATAGTTAGAATGTTCAGAGCCATTTCTCCATGCGCAGCTAAGCTACAGATTTTACTTTAGAAGAAAGCAGCGCCGGTGATGTCTCCGGCCACTGATCTGTAAGGGAAAAAAGGTCATATCCTGTATATTGAAAATGATTTATTTTTTCAACAGCCAGCTGCGCTTTCATTTCTTGATTACCTTCCGCTTTTTACTAGCAATTCCTTAAAAGAAAAGAAAGTCAATCCATATTTGTTGATCACTTCCAGAGTTGGGAAGGTTTTATCAATATTGCCTGCTAGTATCTTTCTATTCGTCTCTTGCCGAGGCTCGTTGTCTGGCCGGGCAGTTTTTTCTCCAAGGCACTGGGAAATTCACAAAGAATTCAAAAAAAACATCTCCTGAATGATTCTAATCTTTGTTAGCGTCTACCTTTTTATGGTACTCACAAATTTTGACAGCGTGCGCCAACTCCAAGCCTTTAAACCATATTTTCACGTGTGCCTTCCACCATCCTCGACATCTTAAAAATTGGGACATCTGACTGAATTTAAAAACAAATTTATTCTGAACTTACGCCTCATAATAAACAAATGTAATTCCGTTAGGATGTCATCTAGAGCCAGACCTTTGACAGATTTGATACTTTGGATTTCTAAAAGAGTAATATAAATATTATGTTATGAATTTTCATTTGTCATAACCAATTAAACTCACCATCATAAGCACCCTCAAAACTTTTGCATGACAACAACGTTTCAAGGATTCTTTCAATATCACGACGCAATGGATGACCCACACATGTATAGACATTATCTTCGTTGACCTCATCGAAGGCCATACTTGTACTTTGTAAGACATTCAGTACTTTACGCATGTCACCCTTGGACAAAACCATCAAGGCCTTCTTACCATCTTCGGTGACATTTAATCTGAAATAAAAGTAGCAAAATTACCCCATAATAAGGTGTATTATTGTAAATTGTGGCAAAATTTGTTCCGGTGTCAATGGGGCAAACCGAAAACGTGTACATCTTGATTGTACAGCCGGTATAATTTTGCTCAAATAATTACAGATAACACAAAATCGTACATTTTCTGTATATTTTTCTATAATACGACGCAGAGCATTTTGGGCATCATTTGTCATAGCATCTGCCTCGTCCAATATAATCAATTTGAAGGTTCCACTAAAGATGGTACGTGTCGAGGCAAAATTTAATATTTGTCCACGAACAATACCAATACCACGATCATCGGATGCGTTCAATTCCAAAACCATTGATTTAAATTGTGCCGGGGTATACAGTTGTTTGGCACATGCCAAAATCGTACTGGTCTTACCCGTACCGGGAGGACCATAGAACAGCAGATGGGGTAATTGTTTTTGGTTTATGAAACGATTAACTGCAATGTAATATATGATATAGTATTAAATATCTGTAGGGAAATTCTAGAATTTAAAACTTACTTGTCGATATAATTTCTTCATGTGATATCAAATCATCCAATTTCGATGGCCGATATTTCTCAACCCTAAAGTTAAAAATATGGAATTATTTTTCCTATTTGCACACTTTTTCTTGAAAATCTCACCATGGCATCCGACTGGTTTTTGCTGGGGCTTCTTCGGTCATTTTTTATTAATTAATTTGCAAAAATATCGCGATAAACTCAATTTAGCCAAACAAAACGACAGAGACAATAGA